ATTGTCCTAGTGACCCAAGGGACTAGAAGAATTGAAAAATCTGGTGAGAGTTAAGGTTAGTAAGGTTTAGCATAATTGGATATTTGCTTATATGGCAACTCCAAAGAGCTAGGGATCTAGAGGTTAATATGGGCAGAGGTAAAATATTCCATGGTATGTACAAGTAGTCTATAGTTGATTTTGATTATTGAGAACTGAACCCGTGGTAGGCTTTCTGTTCTCAATGTTTGTTTAACTCTCATTATTATGAACTAAACACATTAAGATATTTAAAAAGTGTCCAAGTCCAACTAAACACATTTGGATATTTAAAAAGGTCCCTGTTAGTCTACGAAGCAAAAGAAAAGGCAATCATAATCACTCTCTCTTTGGGGGTCAACAAATAACAACTGTGTTCAAGCAAATGTTTTATTAGGGGTTCCATATTTCAAAGTAGATACTAAAATAGGAGATATACTGAGATAAATAAATTAAGATTTATAAAGGGGCACCTGGGTGGCTCAGTCTATTGAGTGTCTGACTCTTGGTTTTGGCTGGGTTATGGTCTTAGGGTTGTGGGGTTGTGGATCAAGGCCAAGCTGGGCTCTGCACTCAGCATGGAGTTTGCTTGTCCCTCTCCCTCTGCTCCTCCCCCAACTTGTGCCTGCATTCTCTCTCTCAAACAAATAAAATCTTTTTAAAAAAAGATTTTTATATTCACCTTCTTAGAGATTATCTTTAGCATTAATTAAATACTTAGAATTATCTGACTAGGAAAGTGGTCTAGTTGTTTGAAGGTATGTACAAACAACTTACAGTTAATGAAGTTATAGAATATGTGAAAGGCAATCTGAATTTATGTCCTTGGACATTATATGTAAAAAGTTCTCAGGTATTTTCATTAACAGACATATCAAAAGTGTAGTCTGATTATCAGTCAGTAGAACTGGCTTTAGCCTCAGATTCTTTAAGAAACAGCATTTTGAACCTTTTTTTTTAGTGGGGGGAGGGGCAGAGAGAAAGATAATCTTAAGCAAGCTTCATACCCAGCATGGAGCCCAACACTGGTCTGGATCACTATCTGAGCTGAAATCAGGAGTTGGACACTTAACCGACTGAGCCACCCAGGCACCCCAGCATTTTGAATTTTGACTCTATTTCCTTACTGAGTAATGAGGATAAAGCTTGTCCTGTCTATGCTATAAGGATAAAAAAGAATGTATACCTATAAGTTATTACTATACTATTTCAAAATCTTAGGTTTCAGGTGTATAAATTTCTTCCCGCCTGATCTATGCAAATTATGTTTATTTCTACCATGAAACCCAAGCAGTGAAAATGATAGTTGCATAGTAACTATGTGCCAAGAACTAAAGGCATTACCTCATTTAATTCTGACATAATTCTCACAGTACACGTGAAGGGAAGTATACTTAAACCTATTTTGTAGATGAGGAAATTGTGGCCCAGCAAGAATAAATGACCTGTTCAACAAAGGTCACATGAGCAGATAGTAAATTCTGATCTAGGTTTAATCAAAGTCTGTTGAACTCCAAAGCCCATGCAATTTGCAATAGAACATGATGCTTTTCAAGACTAATCTGAATGTACAAAGGCAAAATGGGCCAGGATAGTAAAATGACTCTTCAATGAATGCAACTGATGACATGAATAAATATAATCTGTTTTTCTGTTACTTGGTTTTCCACCTATAGCAGTTTCTCAAATAACTATCATCCCTACCTCAAACATACTAAGGTATTTTGAACTGAACTTATTAGAGTTAACTGAATTTATTATGGTTATGATCTTCCCCACATAAGTTTACTGCTCAGTGGGAACAATGGGAACAAAACCCATCCAGCTCAAGTTTTCTTGTATAATGTGAGGTAGAACAATCATAGTTATAAATTCCTTTCCCCTTCAGCTTTCCATATGGAGAAAGTGTTGCCCTTCCTTGTTCCTCTGAGCATGACAGAGACACAGTATTTGTTATTCCCCAGCACTATCCTTTGCACATTATTCTTCCTTCTTCTGTCTTAGTGGAAAACTGAAGGAGGCATGTAAAACCTAACTTCCTTCCTTTTTCAGATGCTAGTCATAGGCAGAAGAGCCTGTATGGCTTAACTATGTGGCACATACTTGCTTTATTATTGCATTTATTGATCTTATATTATAGTTGAACTTTTGTTTCAACTTTATCATTGAATTCTTTATTTATGACTTAATTCTTGCCCCAGTCTTCATTAAGGGGATGTATTTGTAGTAAGTATGGGAGAGAGGGAACAAGACATAACAAGAAACCAGTAGCACAATTGTATACTATTTTGGAATTCATAAAACACTTTTCCCAGACATAACCTTACTTGCTTCTTAATCAAGGATATTATGTCAGTTTTACAGAGTAGGCAGCTGAGACAACAGTTATAAAGTTTACCCAAGGTCATTAAGCTAGGATCTGGGAAAGTCAGGACTTAAGCCCAGGTATTCTAACTCCTAGTCCAAGGTTTTTTCAACTGTACAATGACAAACTGTTAAAAGGTATGCAGTATTTTAGCACTGACAGTAGAGTGTGTTGGTTAAGAACACAGACAGAGGCTTTGGAGTCAGATAGCCCTAGGTTTCAATCCTTGCTGCTAGTTATTAGCAGTGTATCATGAAAAAGTTGCTTAATATCTCTGAGTCAATTTTCTTATATGTAAACTAAGTATACTAATGAATTATATCTACCTCTCAGAGTTATTTGATAAGATTAATAAGATAACATACGTATAATTCTGAATACCATTATGGGACCACAAGATCTTAATAAATAGTAGTCATTGTGGACAAGTCCATAGGCAGTGATGAGATAGCAGGTTGGCTGCTATAGCTTCATCCTTCACAGTTCCAATTATTGTGGCAAGAATTTTTTTTCTTGCTATTTGATATCTAGATATAATTCTTCCAGAAGGGAAATAAGGTATAGAAGTGACTATAGCTCTGAATGTTTAATAGAAAGAGAGGTAGCATATAGAATCAGTGAATTTGTGACAGGCTATCAGTGTGAAAAAAGCATAGGAAAATGGACAGAAATTATTGTAGTCAAGAAGATCAGCATTAAAAAGCATGCACATCTTGCAGCATTCCTGTATACTACAAAGTAGAATTTGGCCATAAAAAACAGGATGTAGCATTAGTCCCAGTCATTAGTATTGATACCCATATTGGTCACTGGCATATCTCAGTTGGTCTGAGATGAAATGATGAAAATACTATAGTGATTTTTCATGAAGCTAAATTTATTCAGTTTAAACACCTGCTTTTTATTTTTGACATACTGTATCAGCTTTTTTTGGGGGGGGGTTACTAAATTTTTTTTTCCTTTTGGGAAATAATAGTGATAAATAGTTGATAGTTTTTTTAAGGTGCTTGCTAGACAAAATAAGTTGTCAAATATATGTCAGCTCTTCTCTACTAATATTTATTTTGAAATCCCATAGTCTAGAAAAATAATGAGTTAATCTTCAAGATTTCTTACAGGTGTGGGAAACTAGACTCCTAGATATCAAAGGAGTTTATCTATGAAGATCATTAAGTAACATCAGGAAGAGCATTTCCAAAGAGATGCATCTAAGTACCCAAATCATATTTTATATGAAGGTCCCACTTCTTATCTCCTAGGAAATTACAATTTAAGACAGAACAGAGGTCCAGGTCATTGCCACTCAGCACATAGAAACCAGAGTAGAAACTAATCTAATATAGAGATTAATAATGAGCTATTTACAGCATATAATTTAGGATTATAGGAAGCAAGACAAAAGCCATGATATGGGGAGGTGAGGCTATTTGGGAAGAGTAGCCTTGCAAAGATCTTTATCCTAACTAGAAGGAAGGACCAAATAATCAGGTCATCTTGGAGTCAACTATCTGGAACTCCTTAAATGTTACTGAATTGCTTTCTTTGCCTCGATGTCCTGAGGCTGTACATGACTACAGAATTTCAATTGCTTTACTAAAGAAGATGGTTTTCATCAGGAATTAAAAAGAAAGGTTTTGATTTTGTACTATATACAGGTTCTGAAGAGAACATTAAATACTGGTTAAAGTAAGTAGGACACCAAATAATTATAGAATAGTTGGGTAAGTAAGCAAAAATCGTGGATAAAATTAATAACTAGGCAGATTCTCATTATATCCAAGTTCATCCTTAGTCCCAAGGGTAGGCATTTTTGAAAGGTACGTTAATTATAGACATCTAGGGGGTGAGTGATTTATTTCATTTATGTGTTTGTCTTCTGGTCCCAAATAATGTGGCTTCTAAAAGTACATTCACTTGTAAGCCAGGGGATGTTTAGGTCCTTGGAAAATCTGACTCCTTGTTAAACATATATAATCAGTTTTAATTTGGAATACAGCAACTGAACAAATGGCTTCAGAATTTGTAAGATAAGTATTTCCTTAAGGAGGTGACCAGGAAAATGCTAATAGCTGGGTAAATAAATGACTGAACTGAAACCCAAAACAAAGTTCACTGTGATAATAAGTCTTATTTTTTTCACATTCTCCTTGAATGTACCAAATGATTTTATTGTATTGAGCATGATTTGATTTATGATTGATTTATTTCATAGACATTTATTGAGTGCCTGCTAAGTGCCTGGGTCTAGCGATACAAAGATTAAAAAAAAGAATCTTTGCTCACCAGGCTGTTACCATCTATTTCAAGGAGGTGCTCAGCACGCATTTTAAAATTATAGTAATTTCTATTGGGAATTTGTACCATAGCACACACCCACTCACAGAAACACACATATTTTAAAGGATTTAGGTGTGTGTCAGAAATGTTCAGGAACCAAAAAAAGCAGGCAGGTCTTAAGGTCCAAAACTCACATCTAATATTTCAGTATATAACATCCTGGTCTTTAAAATCATCTTTAAATAATATGCCTTGGATTTTCCTTCTCTTTTGGCCTCATTTTATGCAGTCTTACTTCTAGAAGTTCTTAATGGCACTTCTCAGTCTAACCTAACCTAACTTCTGTATTTCTTGGTTGCTTAGTTTGATAGAAGCTCCTCAGAGAACTTCAGTTGGAGGTCATGCACTCCAGCCCTTTTCGGATTCCTTCATCCTGTCTGGGGAGAGAGGGGAGACAGGTTGCCATTTCAGTGTTTGTGGCTCTGAGACTGCCATTTGCACATCCACCCTTGGGGAAAACCTTTGCTCTGCATTTTGCCTGTTTGATATCTGGAGGCCCTGGGATGCTCATGCATACCCACAGTACCTAAAATAGTTATCTTCATCTGCCAAGTAGAAGGCCCATTTTGTTCCAGAAAGAAGCCGAAAGTGGGGCCACAACTTTGCTGTGGGTATAGCAAACTGGCCTGACTTCTTTTCTGGGCTTAGGTTTGGAACCCACGGCTTGGAACCCACAGCTTCGCCTGAGAGGTGGGGTGGGTCTGGCTTGGTGAGCTAGGGCGGGTGGTGCACTACGCTGGTCCTGGCTGTTCCTGTGCATCTAGGGAATGTGTGTCCACGGGCCCTGTCTATGACTCCTGGCCAAGTTTGAAAACCCAACTGTGTTACTCTATTCCTTTCCAGCACTGTAAAGGCGCACTTCCCCGCAGAGGGATAACCATGGTCGACCTCTAGGAGGGGCTGGAAGGGCAAGTCCTCTTGTGCAGTGGAGTAGCCAAGCCGTGGCTCAGGTGGGCGCAGCGCGGCCCAGACTGTCCAAGCACGTACCAGATTGCTTTGACTTGGCCTAAGTTGGGGTATACTGAAGTCTCCCCAAGACACTTTTTTCTTGGCTGTAGGCAGACCAGAGCCATGCGCAGCCCGGGCCCTTTTGCTCCTATGGGTGGATAAGCCCTTTGACCAGGTCACTCTATATTCCTTCCGGCTACTGTTTCCCGTATTGAGGCCAGAGGATGCTTCTGTGTGGCTGCCCAGCTAGTAGCAGAGAGAGGTCCTTACTTGTGTCCATTAAGTCTCCATCTGCACTCTAATGCTTTAGCAGGAATCACAGTCGCCACCGCAGGATCCCCTCTGCAAGTTAACCACTCTTGCCTTTGCTCGTTCAGCGCAAAGGGAAGGGCCCAGAGCGGAAGAAATGCCTGCCGCTGTCAGGAGAAACAGGCTCGCGGCGGGTGCGCTCTCTTTTACTCCCACGCGTCCAGGGCTGGCGCTGGGGCTCTCGAGTCGGGATTGAAGCTAGAACCGCCCTCCCCAGAGCCTCGCCGGGAGGGAAGTAAAAAAAAAAAAGAAAAAAAGAAAAAAAAGATGTCCCGCCCCTACCCAAAACATGACAACCATACAGTTTCGATCCCTCTCTCTGCTTCCTGACCCTAGAGGGTTAAATCAGGAGGGTACAACGCCACCCCTTCCTCCTACTTCCCGCCTCCCCCCCCCACCCCCTCACCTTTAAAAAGTTAAAAAAATGTCTGCAGGCGAAATCTCTTAAAGGGGCGGCGCTGGTGAACGAGTACTCTTGGCACGAGTTGCTGAAAAGGCTGGCTAGGGGCGTGAGTTTGCTCCACCAGCACCAAAACACTGGAAAAAAAAAAGAGAGAGAGAGAGAGAGAGAGGGAGAAAGAGAGAGAGAGGGGGGAAAAAGGAAAGAAAAAAAAAAAAAGAGTGTTGGGGGGGAGGCAGACAGACACACACTTTAGATAAGGACAATTAGTCACCAGCGAGACCCTGTAGGAAGAGAGGTTTAAATCAGAGGGATTTAATGGGGGTGCTCTGTGCCTTCCCTGAAGCCATGCCCTCCAGCAACTCCCGCCCCCCTGCGTGCCTAGCCCCGGTGGCTCTCTTCTTGGCTCTGTTGGTCCATCTCTCCCTTTCCTCCCAAGTTGGAGACAGGAGACCCTTGCCTGTAGACAGAGCTCCAGGTTTGAAGGAAAAGACTCTGATTCTACTTGATGTGAGCACCAAGAACCCAGTCAGGACAGTCAATGAGAACTTCCTCTCTCTGCAGCTGGATCCGTCCATCATTCATGATGGCTGGCTCGATTTCTTAAGGTAAGGCAGGGGCTTCCATGATCATTTTTTTTTTTTTAAGTAACATCCCCCACCCCTTCCTATCCCCCATTCCAAAGGGGGAAGAAGAAGAAGAAAATAAGCCAAGCGATCTCACAAAGAGAAGAAAAGAGGTTTTCCTCCTCCTGGAATATTTGCTGTGAGGCTTTAACTGGTGATTGAGAAAAGCAGTGTTTTCTATTAAGATGCACATGTTTGCAATGCAGAAGGCATTTCAGAAACTTATCAGTTATGACTGAAAAAATGTTGTGCTTACATATATCCACAATTAGCCTCCCCGTCTCCTTCTGAAAAAGAAACAAGAGGTTCAGGGCAGTTACAAAAGCGAAGAAAAGGTCTTAAGCAACAAAGACCCGAGAGGAATTGGTGTGTATGTGTGTGTGTGTGTGTGAGAGAGAGAGAGAGAGTGTGTGTGTGTGTGTGTGTGTGTGCCTATGTGTATATGTGACTGTTCAATCGGGGATCTCACAAAAGTGGAATTTTCCACGGAAAGATTGATTTGTCAGTTCTCTCCCATTCCAAGACAGAAAACGAATTTAAGCAGAGACTTGAGCGGTGGGCAAGTTGGATTGGATTTTTGGAGTTTTCTTTTATATCCTCCGCTGTCCTTTCCAGACTTCAGGACTTTGTAAGACGTTTTTAATAGACTGAATGGCCCCCCAGTCCCTCCTCCTTAAATCTCCTGCGGTAACTGCATAGTTTTTCTTTAAAGAAAAAAAAATTCTCGCTCCAGTCATAGGGTATAAAAGGAGAACGGAAAGGGTCCTAGAAATACTACGGGATGTTTCGGAGGTCTGAACTCGGCACCAGCGATTACCAAACCGGTGGTTTGTTATCATGGACTCCCCGCTTACTCAACGGCTTGGGATTTAATTGTGCTCACTTTCTACCTGAGGTGTTACTGTTTAGCAGTTAGGCAACTAAGACCCCTACCCATCAGGGACAGAGTCGTAGTGTAAAAAAAAAATAATAAATAAATAAATAAATAAATAAATCATCTGCAATGTCGAATCCAGTGTTGAGTTATTAAAAATTCTATCCAAATTGGAGCCTCAGCTGTGGGCTCTTCCGAAGAGCTCTGAGCGCTCTCTCAGTCCCACTTTTCCATCCGGAGGCCGCGTCTGCCGCGCGTCTTTCGTGAGTATCTTTCACTCCTTGCGAAATCCATTTTGCTGCTGGCGTGCTCCCGCCCCTCAGCGCTGCGGGTCTGCCCGGGTCCTCAGCCGGATCAGCGGACGCGGCAGGTAGCAGGAGGCGCCACGTGGAGCGCTCCTTCCACGTGGAGCGAGCGTTGCGGGAGGACTGAGCGGTTGGTGGTGGTGCTGCCGCCGCAGAGGCCGTTTGGGTTCCTGGCGGTGCCTCCGCGGGAAGGCGGGAAGAGCTACGCGCGGCCGGGCTTCCTCCTCGGAAGTTCTGTCGTGCAGCAGAGCGCGTCTCTGAGCTCGTCCGCTGGTTGCGAGTGACGGGGGTTTTCCGAAATACACGCCCCACTTGCATAGCTCTACTCCAGCTGCGCGGACTCCTTCGGGCTTCTTTTTCCTTCCTTCCTTTTTAAACAGTCTCGTTAAATGCATGCTGCAGAAAAGATTCTGGAAAGCGGTTTTTCGGAGAAGAGCCGTGGCGGGGCGCATTTGCATTGGTTGTACAGGCTTCCCGATGGACGGTTGTTGGAAATGCCTTATCTGCCGGCTGGTACTGGCACGGATGTCTCCTCTGTCTGCCGTGGGGCCACGCGATGCCATGACTGCGCCCGTCTGAGAACGCCGTCCTGGAGTCCTCGGGCAAACGACATTCCCGGCCACTTCTTGGGGAGGCTACCACTTTTGTCAGCAACTCTCTGAAACTGGAGTCCTCGGCTTTCTAATTTCATATCCCCCTCCTTTATAATCCTATGTGTTTTCTACATTTGGATTTGGATTTTCAGAGCCTGAACCAGCAAAGTGTTAAAAATAACTAACAGATCCGGAATTCAACAGTTGGTCGTCTTAGTACTAAGAGCATCTGCGCTGCTCCTTCTTTACCCCTCCCTGAAGTAGTTTTTGGCTTTTAAGACAGCTTAGTTATGGAAATCCTGAACCTAAATAAATGTAAATGCTGCTCTGGTGCTCCTCGAGTCTCCACCAAGGAGTGGGTTCCACGTATCGGCAAACTTTACTTTTCCCAGAGCTTGTTTCCAAAGGGTCCCACGTAGGAAGGAAAAAGATGAAGTTGAACTCAGAGTAGAGAGGATGTTACCTTTCTTGAGATCACGCTGAATTACTTAAGGGACCAAAGAGACACTGCTTTTACCGTGCCAGGCAGGGATGGGCAAGAGTTCTTAGAAAAGCAAGGATTTACCCCGGGAATCTCTTGTCCAGGGTTTGGGAGATGGATGCGGTTGTTACAAGATAGTGTTGAAGGAAAATCAACTTTAGCATTAAGAAAAACAAAACAAAACTTCCATCTCAGGTACCTTGTCTGAGAGAAAGGAGGCAGGTTTCACCTTATCCACAGCGGTTGCGGTGCCTCTGGGGCGGAGGAAACAGATCTCGGCTTTCAGCCTAGAAGTTTGGCAAAAGTCGGAGCCCAGCAGTCCGCGCGCTGCGCGTCTCCGCCAGGAGCGCTTTCCGGGCAGTGGCAGAAACTGGGCAACTGCGCCTTAGCCCCGTGTTCTCAGCAGAAGTGCCCCCCCGCCCCCCGCTACCCCCCACATGCACTGTGTTAACAAACAGACTAACCGTTTGGAAAGAAGTACCTTTGGCGAGCCGCGTAGGGTTGTCTGAGGGAGGATGCCGCGGCCGGCTGGGCGCAGGAGGCAAAGCCCGGGGAGCCAGGCGCACGCGAGATGCCGGGGCCCACGCGGGTGGCGGGCTGGAGGGGTGGGACAGCCCGTAGCCTCCGCCAGGTCGCTCGCGGAGAGTGGGAAGAGGGCCTCGGTCGGTGTCCCGCGCCCTCTCGCCTTCCCCCAGGATCCTTTCCTCTCTTTCTCTACCTCTGCAGCTCCAAGCGTCTGGTGACCCTGGCTCGGGGACTTTCGCCCGCCTTTCTGCGCTTTGGAGGCAAAAGGACGGACTTCCTGCAGTTCCAGAACCTGAGGAACCCGGCGAAAAGCCGCGGGGGCCCCGGTCCGGATTACTATCTCAAAAACTATGAGGATGGTGAGAAACTTGCTTCCAGTCTAGCGGGGTGACGGAAGTTTGAGGAATAGGAGCGAGCACTTGATGTGTGGGGTGGGGTGGGGGTGTTAACAGATTTGGAGGAGAGCCTGGTGGAAGCTCCTCTGAAAAGCTAGTAGCTTTGGACTAGGGGATGCGGGAGTTTGGGACTCCTGGCGTGATTGCGGGGGAGGGTGGTTGGTGGTCACCAGGTTGCCGGCCTTTTCGCTGGGCGTCTGAGCTCCGAGGCCGAGAATTGGTAGCCAGAACAATTGGCAGACCAGTTCTGTGGGGTAGAAGATGTAGAGTGTTTCTTGAGAAAATTCAGATAGGATCTTAGGCTACTAATGGGTCAGGGTCACGTTTCATTCCTAAAATTCTAGAAAAAAGTGCCTTTCTGTTTTTATTTCTTGCTTTCCTGAGTTGAGGATAGGGGTGATACAGCTTCTTCTGAAACCCACTCTGAAGTTTTCTGGATAATCCTTTTATATTGGACCTCCTTGTTGGGAAAGGTTTGAATATCTCCACAGTGGGTTCTCCTTCAGACTGCCTAATCTTAGAGTTGCATTTTTTCCCCCTGTTTTAAAATGGGTTTATAAATGCCAGCCTTCTTTCTTGCCAGGATCAAATGAGTTAAGTGTTGGAAGGGCTTTGAAAACTTGGAGAAGCCAATCTTTTTAGGTTTGAATAGTCTCGTTTTTACTAGAAAATGGTGTTTAAAAGTTTTGTTTAGAGGGTATAGTGTTAATATATATGAATTTTCTTTGTGGGTAGGGGACATATTTCTTTCAAATAGTCAAGATGGGAATTGGTGGGTCCCCAGCTACTGAGCCTGTCTGTGTAGGTTGTATAAAAGAGGCATTGGTGTCCATTCTTGGAGAGTTATCTCCGCCCTGCTGTCCCTTTTCATAAGTGAGCCTCAGAGCTTACAGAGCTCAAAGACAGGTTCTTAGAGCTCCCTGGATTTTGTTATATCTTGTCCTTGTAAATCAGCAAAATGAGGAAATGCCATTGTATATATGTATATTCTGGGATTTCACTGAATGGGATTCTGGAGAGATGCTGGGATCTATCCCAAGGTTGACTGGGGAAAAAAAAATTTTTTTTAAGTGCTAGAGTGGAGAAAGAGAGCAAGGCTGAGTCTTCTTGAGTTTAAAGTGTGAATAGGACTTATAACATTTGCCGAAGTGTATAGGAGTATAAGGTTAGGTCTTTTCAGAGGTAAATGTCATTGCCATAAAAATGTGGGTTGCAATAGATTTTGCTGTCACTCAGCATAAAATGCAGAAAGGTAAAAGATAATCCTGAACAGCAGTTCTGATGGTAATTTGACCTAGGGCCTTATAGCTCCCAGGGTCACTGTCAGCTCTGTGATCAGACGTGCAAAGGGAGAATATTAATGGTTTTCCTAATGAAACAGCTCTTCTTCGAATCCATGTCAACTACTAGTTCTTTGGCTTGTGAAAAAATGTTTAAGAGCCCCAAGAACCACTGGGGGGAGAAGGGGGGAAAGGACCATTATAAATGACAGGAATTGGCCTTTTTCTCCCAAACTTGTACCTAGGATTATATTACCAGTTCACTGAGAACATGAGATCCGCTTAAAATGAAAGATACAATTTGTTTCCCTTTATGAAGGGAGAAAGTGGGCATCATGGGGAGAAAGGAAATTGGTAGAAGGCTGTGCCCCATAAAATTTCATGGAATTAAAAAAAACTCAGAAATGGAAAAGATCTAAGAGGTCATCTTCGATCTTTCCACTACTTCAGGGGCCAGTACAGGATCATTCCATATGGAATCCTTTTCTTGTTTTGTCCAACCTGGTATTAAATATCTCTAGGAATGTAGTTTTTACCACACTTGTGGGACAGATTTCTGTCCCATAGGTTTTTGCCAGCATATTCTTATCTTGAATTTTCCTTTTATACATATTCTCCAAATATTTACGATTATTTCTTTTTTTGCATTTTTAAAACATCTATCTTCAAAATAATTTCTGTCTTTGGTGTGAGTGACAGGTTAAAAAAAAAAGGTTTTTTTCATAGCTGTTTTTTATCTAGACTACCTGGATTTAATTCTTTTAAAACTTTCTTTAAAGTCTGTACTTCCAGACACTAATCTGCTTTATTGCTTTTAGCTGAACTCCTTTTGATTTATGTCTCCCTGGTAATAAGATGCTCTGAACTATATCAGTATTTGAGGCCTTAGCAGAGTTAAAGAGAGTAGGAATGCCCTGTTTTTGCCCTTTGATGCTCACATATCCTTAAATCATCCATATTGTCTTTGTTCTTGATGTTACATTACAGAATTTAAGGCAAAAATATTTTTGGTATAGTCTTAGCAATTTTGCTAACATTATACTTCAGTTGTCACTTTTCATCCAGTGATAATTATAATCATCATCATGAACATCTTAAACATAATTAGGTCTTCTTAGTAAATGGCCCTGTAATTGGCACTTGGGCACAAGCACCTTATTAAAAACAAGATGTATTGACTTAAACATAATACAGAGTAATAACATACATTTTGAGTAATAAGATACACTTATTGGCACATTATGAAGTTGAATGCTATAGTGAAGGGAATATGGAATTTGGACTTAGAAAGCCTATATTGTAGGCCTTGCTCTATCACTTAGGATTATGTGGCCCTGGGCTTGCTGCTTCTCTATAGCATATGGATGGTGATAATACCTGCTGTGCATAGCTTCTGTGAGGCTTTTAGGAAGTAATGTGTGTAAAATATTTTGTCAGTTATAAAGCACTATGTAAAGGCTAAGGATCTTACATTTATTAAGAGCAATTTCAGAAAATTTGTAACACCTTATATTTTGAAGTGGGATTAAGAAGTGAATAAGATTCAATGAGACAAGTTTTTACAGAAGAAAGGAGAGAGAATTAGGGAATTGTTTGAGAGGTTTAAGGGAATGTCGGGAGAATTGTCTTCAAGGAATGGAGATGCAGAACATAGGGTAGCTTACTTTTTTTGTGGTAATGAGAGAAGAGACATATCTTTAGTTTTCTTATATGCTAACAATGAAATGAACCAACAGTTCTAGCTTAGGTAAAATACAATATGGTTAATTCATATTGCTACTTTGATGTGATATGTTGTTGTTTCCCCCTGAATGAATAGTGCAATTAAGAAGGCATGTGGCTTCTATTTTCCACATACTTTTCAAGCTTTAGTGCAAATTGCATTTTCTCTTAACTTTCTAAAACCACACTTTCTGTATCACTTTAGGAGAGTCTCTGGTTATTTTTTTAATACAGTTATCTATTCTACTCTATGCATTTCTATTCATATTCTACTCTAGGCAGGCATCTTGAATTTCATACAAATATGGTGATGGTGGAAGAAATAAAAATAGAATTGTTTTTCATACCTTGGAATCTTACTGTTTGCCTTACCTTTTGTACACCATTTATTATGCACATTAAAAGCCAACTTGGTATTTCTAAAATATCATATTCATTATATCACTCTTTTGCCCAGAAATTTCGATTATTTTTGGATTGCTTACAGAAAATGTTCAAGTTCCTCAACTTGGCATTCAAAGCCTTTCACATTTCAGTCTTGGCTTACAATTTTGTATCCTGTGTTTTCATATACTTTTTATTACAGTCCTACTTGATTTTCACTCTTTGTAAAGCACCTTCATTATCTCAACCCCTTACGTTTGTTCAGCCACATATCTCTGCTTTGAATGCCTTTCTTCTGGCTCTGTTCAAGTCTCGCCCACTCCCTAATTCCTGAAAGCACATTGCAAATACCCCTTATTTTCTCAAGGCCTTTCTTTCCTGAGCATATGATTGCATGGTGATCTCTTCTTTCTCTGGATTGTTGTAGCTTTTACTCTTTAGGTTGTCTCCGTCTGCCTTATTTTGCTCTTTAACTTTTAACACGTATGTGAAAATGTTTTGTTTTCCTTTCCGTGAAACGTTTTAATTTTTAGAATCACATTTTCCATAGGAAGGGACCATATCTAATTAGTGTTTATTCCAAAATGTCTGGCATTATATAGAGCTTCAGCAAATATTTTTGGATATTTATTGGCTTAACACTGTTAAAGCTCTGGGAAAATCGAGGTGACTAATGAAGAAATGAATGAATTTGTATGTGAAGATTCTATTCATTTTTCACCTTCAATGCATAGTCTTAAAGTTCATTCTTAATGCTCATTTTAATGACACTTTTCATTATTTTAACCATGTACTCTTTATCTTATGTAATCTAAGTCATCTTGGTTTCATGCTATGCATTTAAATTTATCACCTGGTTTAAAGCCTTGCACTGGACCCATTATTAATTATATATTGTATCTCTTTCTTTTTTGCCTTTATTTTTGCTTTTCCCTGTTAGCCTTACTTAGTTTCTATGCCTAGTTTTCTAATTCCTGATTTAATAGTGCTTTTTCACAAACTTCAGAAGTTTTTTTTTAATCTCTCTTGTCTTGAAGATTTTCTCTTCAGAGAGCTTCTGAAATACTAAAGGATGGATGCAAGTATACTTATAAACTCTAAGGCACTCTAAAACTATTATTACTGTTCACCTTTCTTCAGGAAGTTTTCCAGTTTTAGTAGAGGTGAGGTAGTTAATGTTTTTTTCTTTCTATTTCCATACCATCAGTCAAGACATAAGACATAAGAACAGCACAACTACCAAAAATCATATTTGCCTTGAACTTACCCACATTTTGTTATCTCATTTTATTTAAAATAAAAGGTTTTATAAAGGTTCTTGAAATTTTGGGGCGCCTGGGTAGCTCAGTGGGTTAAAGCCTCTGCCTTCGGCTCAGGTCACGATCCCAGGGTCTTGGGATCGAGCCCCGCATCGGGGCTCTCTGCTCAGCAGGGAGCCTGCTTCCCCCCAGCCCGCCTGCCTCTCTGCCTACTTGTGATCTCTGTCTGTCAAATAGATTAAAAAAAAATCTTTAATAAAAAAAATAAGTTCTTGAAATTTAGTTACATTTGTAAGTATTTATTGATTACCTACTCTGT